CCGTGTTCGTCTTGGCCGGCGAATGTTCGATTTTTGGCATGCCGAAATATTTGCGATTAAAGGTTATTGGAACTCGTGCTCGGATCTTAATGAATTCCCACGTCGGGGTCACCACTTGTGGGGTGCGTGATTAACGAGTTGTCAGTGATTGTGTTGTAATACGATAATCTTTATTATAACCTTTGTGTACAGTAGAAGTAATATCACACGAGGTAATCACTTGAGAAGAATAACGAATAATGATTAATGACTGTCGACTAGCAGAACTAACAACTTAAATCTAGTGACTATATAATACCAACCGCGAGCTACAGGAGCGCTGTAGTTGCCACATTAGTGTGGCAACTACAGCGCTCCGGTAGTTCGCGGTTGGTATTATATAGTCACTAGATTTAAGTTGTTAGTTCTGCTAGTCGACAGTCTTTATTATTGGTTATTCTGCTCGAGTGATTACCTCGTGTGATATTACTTCTACTGTACACAAGCATACAATAAAGATTATTGTTTTATTACACAATCACCGACAACTCGTTAATCACGCACCCCACATTAGTGTATCTGGTAACGCCATCTACAAATCCGGGGGAAAGCTTTTAAGGATGCGGTTTATGAGTGTCAGCTTGGACCCCCTGCTTGGGATGACACTTCAATAAATTAGATAAGGACATTACACGTGTTTGAGTAAGACAAAAGATATTATAAGAAGTTCATTTAAAGAAACTATTGACACCGAAGTGTCTGTTTTATCAACCTCGTGCAAATTTTTCCGACCTTCCAGAATCGCCTTAACCATAGTTAACGAATAACGGAGAGCTACAGTCATCAGAAATTACAAAAAGTACAGATCTCGCGGGAGTCGCGCCGGAGGTTTTTATTGAATTCCCAGTGCAGTTGTCAAACCTTACCTTCATCGCGCAGTCGACTGATCTGATTTTTGTTTCCTCTAAAAGTTCCGTGCGAGGTTTGCACAGTTGCGCCAGCTTTGAATATTCAAACTTGTTTCGACAACACCGCAATACTGTCGCCGGCGCGCGTAATTGTAACGATGGGCGATGCAGAGAGTGGGGATTGTCACTTATAATGTTCGCCGTATTAAAATGACGAAGGGACAAACAAACTTTTCACTCTCGCCCACAACGCGAATGCATGTTAACGAAATCATAATCTTCGAGTTTCATTTTGTACGACGCGATTTTTCACACAAACGTTGAAATTCTTAATTATTTCGCGTAGATATCCAAATTAATTATACATATATATGCATATATATGTATATGTATATTAATATAACACTATAGACTTGACTATAAGTAAAGCACTCTCAGTTTATTGCATTTTCTTGGAAAAGGTGATAATAAAAGATTAATATTCAAATTATTATAAAAATATTGTTTTTCAATAAAACTGGTTTTTTAACATTTATTTTTTGTTAACTATAAAACGTTTACGTCAATTTGTGGGGATGCTTATTTGTGGGGAGGCTAAGACGATAAGAAGCTAATACAATTACATTCAACAAAGATATTTTTAGCTGTACGAAGTTGGCCTCTCCACCTCACTACTGAAAATTTAAAAACGACCATTACCATTCGATTGATGGTTGTAATGGTAATATTTGATCAATTCTCGATGATTGATAGTCAAATAATAATATGAAAAAATCTCTCGTGGCGATCGTGGCGTGAGGAGCTACGCGGCAGCTTTCTGTGCTAAAGATCCAGATTCAAACCCCCCCCCCCCCGAACAATATAACTGAAATTGATTTTAATCGATTCGGAAACGATCGCCACTTCTCGGAAGGCAAACAGAGCAAACCACAGAGAGTATCTCTGCTAAGAAAACCTCTTCTAATTGGCCGTTCGAAACCAGCGTTAAAATTGTAGATCCCATATATCTACAAATATATGCAGAAGAGATTGCCTACGTTCGGGAGACCGGATATGAAGAAGAATATAAAAAAAAAGACATACGCACGTGAAGTTAAACTTGAACCTTTCACCTTTCAATGTAGAAAAGAGAGAATGAACTTCACGCGCATATGTTTTTTCTTTCATATTATTATTTATAACTTTGAATATCAATCATCGAGAATGGACTCTAAAATACTACGACCATCAATCGGGTGGTAATGGTCGTTTTTTAATTTTGAGTAATGAGGGGGGGGGGCATCTTCACACAGCTGATATTCTTAATATTTTATAGTGTTAAAATTTTAATTTTGAATTAAAGTGATACAAGCAAAAGTATTTCTTTTATTTGGAAATCTTCAACGCAATTAAAAATAGAATTAGACGACTTTACGTCGGTATATAATGCGTTTCTATTTAAAGTATCTCATATTTTCTTGAGGTTTCAACCACGTTTAATGCGAAAATCTACGCCGGTAACAGCGAAAGAAAGAAAGCTTTAAGAGAATAATGGAAAGCGAGCGTACCTTCGCTTCTCACGACGGTCGACAAAGATGCGTCGGTTATTTCATTAGAGCTCGGCTCTAGACTGGGCACGGGCTTTTGTCGCGACCACTGGATATTCTCCACTGAAAACAATATTTTTCTTGTTAGTTATTCGCATAATCGCGAGGCTAATAAAATAAAGTACGACTAAAGCGATTATTTTAATATGTACTAAGTAAGTGGCACGCGCAGGAATGCAGGAATTGTTTAACCCAGACAACATTATATCCAAAACTGAGACATAAGACAATTTAATTGTAAGACGTATTTAAAATGTCTTATGTTACAATATTGAACATGGACATTGGTCTGGATTAACACGTTTCGTGTCGAACCGATTTTAGGTGACGTCTACGCCGCGGTTATATTTATAAAATAAAATATATTTCACAATTAATAAAAAGCTAAAACAAAAGCTTATTATTATAAAAGTTATAAAAAAGAAGGCCTAATGTATAAAAGCCAAGGCGGAAGGGCTTTTATCAAATATTTATTTGATAAAATCAATTACGAAGAAAAATAATTTTGCTATTGTAGCAAAACTGTAACTGCTACTACATATTCGTAATGGCAGCGACGAAATTTAGTTGACATAACTAATTTTCCAAATTATTCGTTATTAGAGCAGAATTTGTTTCGTTACTAAAATAAAATCAAATTTGCTGAGTATATTTGTTCTTAGAATCACGTTAATTTGCTGCTAAAGCAAAATAATGTATTGTTAGCAAATACTTTTGCTATTGGAGCAAAATCATTATTGCACGTAGAAAAATAATTTTGCTGTTATAGCGAAATGGTCATTGCTACTGTATATTTATAATGGTAGATACCAAGTTTAGTTGACACAACTAATTTTAATTGCAAGCAATTTACAACACCGCCACTAGATGGATACGGAGAAGTTTTATTTCTCGTAAATAAAAAAACCACAAAGAATGGAATAAAAGGGACAGTATTAATGATATAATAAAATATGGTAATATGTATTGAAATCCTGAAAATATTTATTACACAGAATAGGACATTGATGAAATTGTATTAAGATTGCATTGAGAAATATTAATATAAGAAAGCGATTGAGAGATTGATTCAGCAAACATATCTTGTTTCAAAGCAAATTTGATTCGCTCATGTAGTCAAATAAATTGTTTATTGAACAAAACCATCTTTTAAGTACTGCAAATGTACTTAGCTCATGTAACAAAATATATCGTTAATGCAGCAAAAAGCTTTGATGATTGAACTAAAAGTTATTTGTTTTTACAACAAAATCATTTGTAGTTTTAGCAAAATCATATTTAGCAAATAGCAATTAGTATACCTAACAAATCTCTTTGCTGTCCATATAATAACTGAAATAATTTGCTATATGACAGCATAAAATTTGCTGTGCTAGCAAATTATTTTTCTCCGTGATTGGAGTGGGGAAAACGGAAGGCACCAAGAACCTGAGTACATGGTTATCATGTCAGTACTGTTAATACTGTAGAAGCGAGATATTTGGAAAATCATTATTCGTTTTTTGTGATACGCGTGCGCTACATAGTTTCAATATTATACCGAATATTAATTTATGCATCAATGATATATACTAATATTTGGCAGAAGTCAATATTGCGTCTGTAAAAAAATAAGACATTAAGGGATTTAGTTACAATCTGATTGCGAAAACAGACGAGAGATCTGTGGCTTTCCTATATGAATAACATACTTTCTGGTCTTACAAACTGATACAACGTGTCCCGGATCTTCCGAAAAACGAATAAGGTAAGTTTGCAAGATCAACTTTATCAGATTATCAGGGAATATCCATATTGCTTGAAACTATAAATTATGCAACAAATGATATTTTTCAAAGAATATTTTCTTAGATACGTATCTAGCAAATAAGAAATAACTTACACTGAGAGAAAAATATTTTGTATTTATGACTATAATTGAATAGTAAAAAATTATGAACAGCAATATTTTTATAGTTACTTTATAGCTA